ACAAGTGGGAGGGGATGGGCGATAAGGAGTGATGAAAATATTAATAGTAACAGTAATGCCGACTTTGTAAATAGTTGGACTGTGTTGAGGGAATTATTTGCTTAGCAGAGTGATGGTGTTCAGGAAAAAACTGTCCTTGTGTCTAGTTGTTCTGACGTGCAGTTCCCTATAGTGTCGTTTTGAGGGAAGGAGTTGAAACAGTTTATGTCCAAGATGTGAGGGGTCTGTAAATATTTTCACAGCCCTCTTTTTGACTCGTGCAGTATACAGGTCCTCAATGAAGGGCAGGTTGGTGGTAATTGTTTTTTCTGCAGTCCTAATTACTCTCTGAAGTCTGTGTCTGTCTTGTTGGGTTGCAGCACCAAACCAGACAGTAATAGAGGTGCAGACGACACTCAATAATTCCTCTGTAAAACTGTATCAGCAGCTTCTTGGGCAGAGCTTTTTGAGTTGGTGCAGAAAGTTGAGGGAATGCTACCCATAATAATCAATGGGAGAATATTAATTGCTTCTCATAATTGTCCAAATCAATTTCCCTTTGGCCAGGTTGCCATCCAGTTTGGTGTTATATACACCAGAGGAACCGGAAGCTCAGAGGGGTAAGGAAGATGTTCCTGATAGGGGCTCCTCATAACCGCCCTTATTCCTAACTGTCCTATTCACCACTATTGCAAACTGTCCTCATTGTTAGGATGAGATGGGACCAACTTGGTGAGAAGTTCTAGTTCAAAGATCTCAGGCTTAGCCAAGAATTGGCGGGGCGAGGGCGAATTGAATTTGGTGAAACTGAAACTTAAGTACCAGGTTTTGAGACCCATTTTGATGAGACTCAAGCCCAGAAGGACAATCCATTGCCAGATAATTGAGGAATGTAGACAATAGGAAGAAGTACCTGTTTGGTATTGAGGGGGGGAAGTATCTTGGTGGCCAGGAGTTTCTCAAGAGGAGATCATTGTATCCCTTGCTTAGGACAGACTGATGATTCCACTAGACTGTCAATCATTTGGAAGCCTGCACTCACAAACAAAAAATCTCCACACCACTAGCCAGGCAAACACCCGGGCACAAACAGATCCCCCCTGATACCTCCAGCTCAAACACACCCCAACCAGGCACCCAGATGAATCCTAGCTTCCTAACAAATGATAGCCGTCCATTTACTCAGAGCCAAGCTGCACTAAAAGCCTCCAATACAGGAACACAATGTTGCCAGCCAATCAAGACACAAAAAAAAGCCACAAAACAGACAGAAGATATTAGAAACACCAATCAAGCAGAACACAGCAAACTCCAAGACCAATAAAGACAGACCAAGACTCCCAACCAATCAGGATGAAGAGAAAACCATTCTGGCACAGCAGTAGGCTAGCACCAAATTTAAAACAGAAACGGCTGTGAAAGCCTGACTCACAGACGAACACAATACAGAAGCCTGATGATGACAGATGAGATACTGCCGAAGCGTTGCTACAACTTTAAAAGCACAACTATAATGATGTGGGAAAATACCTGAACAAAGCTGAATGCCATATATATATGCCGATACATTTTGTTCAATGTGAGACAGTTGCCTAAGGTCATATGATGATGATGACTTGCAGAGTATAGTGTATAATAATCCAACTGGATAGATTCTAATGGCACAATTCTTTAAAAAAAAAATACGAGGAAGGAATGGAATTTGGGGAAATATTTCCCATTTTTAAAATAAGATTAGCACACAATGGATACCTGTGCTCCTGGCTTTTGTAAACATTACAAATTTAAAAAAATCAAATGTAAACAAACAAACTACCCCCCAAAACAAACCTTGATCATTTCATATAGTTTAGAAATGAAATATAAACACTACCCAAGAATCTCCATCAAAAAAAATTATTTGTCTTAGGCAGGATAGATTTTCCTGGCGATGAAAACACACAAATTATCCCCGAGCAAGTTTCCTTGTGGGAATTCACTTTAATCTGTGCATTGTATGATAATAAGGCAACCCCCATATGCCACATCCCCTGTATTGCTCATCCAAAATGTATCACCAACGTAGTGAATTAAGGAAGGACAAGTTTTCCTTTCTAAGAATAAGTCCTCAAATCTTCATGAAACGTAAGAATGCAACAACTATAATCTTCCTTGGATGTGCTGAATATTTTGTCCCCGTTCCTACAGTGATTTCAGTCATCCCTGCTAGCTCACCAATGATAAGGAGAGAGAGGTACACAAAGTGCTCTAGATTTGTAAAATAAGCCAAGGAGATTTTCCATATCTGTTTATGGAATGCTGTTTTTTTTAAAAAAAAAATTCAACTGGATATCTTCAGATCGTAGAATTGTAGGCTTTGAAATGCTCTTGAAGTCCTTTCAGTTACTGCTGATTTGGAAAGCCTTTTCAGGACCTGACAATGAAGTCATTTGGGAAGCAATCAGTCAAGAACGGAAGAGGATCCAGGACTATGGATATCATGCCAAAACAGTAATCTGTACACTCAAGTATTGTATTATAGGAGACAGAGAGGAGAGAAACTTCACACCAGGAGAACTATTATGCTGCAAAGATGTTCCTCAATTATCTATTCCAAAGGAATACAATGCGTTTTGGGTCAAGTTTTGCTAACAGGAGGAAACAATGGGGAGAATCCTTTTTAGTAGGAAAAAACAAGGAGAAAATCCTTTGCTGAATACTCTTATTTTCTATTTTATTACCTTTTTTTAATTGGCTATCTTCTTAAGGTTGATCTGCAAGTCACTGTAAATATACATCATGTGATAAAAATCAACCTTTCGGGTTTTCATATGACTGGAGACTCTTGAACAATGAATAAGAGCGTTATTGTGGAGCTTTTGCAAAAGGCTCACAGGCAGAGCCACAGAAGACATTTTTTTCCTAGGAAGGCTGGGATTTATATACAGTTTCAAATATATAGTCTATGCCCCTTTCCGGGTTTACCATCTATCCAGCTGCACATCACCCTGCGCAACACCCTACTATTGTACTATCCTCATCCTGTTTACCTGTTTCCATTTCCAGTAATCTCCATAATTAACATGACACAGGACAGTTTGACCTGCCAAATATATGACCTTCTACAATGTCCTAAAAGAACATACAGAAAAGAACATACAGAACAATGCACAGAATTCTTACATAATATTCCAGTAAATTGTCTTCGGTTAACACAGAGGTTAAAATAGAGTTACCATTGCTTTATATTTTCACAGATATAATTTTGTAAATGTTTATGGGCCTGGACAGTGAAGTTCTGGTCTCATTCAGCGGGCTCCAAATTATCAGTCAGATGAACCCTCATCTGCATATAGATTGAATGGGTCCAATCAAGACATTTTTCCAGGTACATTTCTGGGGATGCCATCATGGAGATGCTTGGAAAATCTTTTGCAAATCTTTTGCACAACCACCGGAACAAGTAGAGAGGAATGTTTAATTTGTCCAACACTCAGAAGTGTCATCCCCTCCTCCTCTTTTGCAAAGTGTTTGCATCTTTGAATGAAAAGCGGGAATGGCTGGGGAATGAGCCAAAGGTCTTTTTTTTTTCAAAGTCAGATTAGAAGGCATTTGAAACACATGCACAAGGAGAGAAAATCCCCACATTATAATGCGATTTAGGATTCTGAGCTCACTTGACTGGCTCTCAAATGACTGGAAATGGATTTTTTTTCTCCCTTAGGCTTGGTTATAAAATCAGGTTAGAACCAGGGCATAAAGAGAGAGAGAAAAAAATTGTACGGCAAAATGTAGCACAGAAAATCTGTTTCACATTCTCTATACCGGTTCTTACACAATTCAATGGATTTATTTCTAGGTTTTCTGTTACCGGATAAAAAAGCTCAAAGGCAAATTCTCAGGAGTGGAATTTGATGTCCTTGCCCTTATTTAGTGGTACAATGGCAAAGGCCTGTGTATAAATGGGCCCAAGGATTTGATTCCCAGTCTTCCCTCTGCACCCTTGTGTCCTTCACTTCCCTTTAAACTTCAATAGGTGTTTTCCAGATTGGGAAGTATGAGCAGATAGAGAGGCTATAAAGAATGGAAAAAATTGGTATTAGAAGGTAGTAATTCCAGTTTTAGCTTCCTGAACTTCTCTCGCTGTCAGAAAAATTCTCTATTGGCCCCAATGGATTATGTGCATACTTCTTAAAAAAGCTCTCCTCTGCCGTAGCAGAACCTCTAAGCATTACATGAGATATCATTCAGAACCAGCTCCTTATCAAACCTATGGTCTTTAGCTATGGTCATTCCTATCTTCAAAAAAGGTGACCCCAGCCTGGTTGAAAACTACAGACCAATCTCACTGTGTTGTGTCACATGCAAAGTCATGGAATCGATCATTAACCAATTCATCACTCTCCACTTAGAGTCAAACAACCTACTCTCCAAAAAACAATTTGGTTTCAGGAAAAAATTGTCCTGCAATCTACAACTCCTACACTGCAAAAACATGTGGACTACTCTACTGGACCAGGGTAAAGCTATAGATGCTATTTACATAGACTTCTGCAAAGCTTTTGATTCAGTGGTACACAACAAACTACTGTTAAAACTGAACTCTTACAGCATTTCTGGATCCCTCCATAAGTGAATTACTGCATTCCTGTCAAACAGGCAACTAATAGTAAAAACAGGGAGCGCTATATCAAACCTTGCTCCAGTTAACAGGAGTGTTCCCCAAGGCAGCATTCTAGGACCCACCCTCTTTATATAAATGACCTTTGTGATAACCTTATAAGCAACTGCATCCTCTTTGCGGATGATGTAAAACTATTCAACACCACTGACAATGCTACTATCCTTCAAAGCAATCTTGATTAGGTGTCTGAATGGTCAAACACCTGGCAACTCCAAATCTTGACCAACAAATGCTCTGTCCTACACATTGGTAAAAAAAACAGTACACCAAACTAGGTGGATATGACCTTGATGATCCTCACTCTGTCAATGACTTTGGAGTTCTCATATCAAATGACCTAAGTGCCAGAGCTCACTGCAACACCATTGCCAAAAGGGCATTAAGAATTGTAAATCTAATCTTATGAAGCTTCTCCTCCGGAAATATTGAATTGCTAACTAGAGCATACAAAACTTTTGCCAGACCAATACTCGAATACAGCTCATCAGTCTGGAATCCACACTGCATATCAGACATTAATACAATTGAGTGAGTCCAGAAGTATTTCACGAGAAGAGTACTACACTCCTCTGCTCGCAACAGAATATCCTATATCACCAGGCTTGAGATTTTGGGCTTGGACAACCTAGAACTATGCCACCTACAGTTAGACTCAAGTGTAGCACATAAAATTAACTGCTACGATGTCCTACCAGTCAATGACTACTTCAGCTTCAACCACAACAATACAAGAGCACACAACAGATAGAAACTCAATGTAAACCGCTTCAAACTGGATTGCAGAAATACAACTTTAGCAACAGAGTGGTCAATGCCTGGAACTCACTACCTGACTCTGTCACCTGCTCAAACCCCCACTCCTTTACCCTTAAACTAACCACTGTTGGCCTCACCCCATTCCTAAGAGGTCTGTAAGGGGCGTGCATAAGCTCACCATCGTGCCTACTGTCCCTGTCCTATTGTCTCCTTTTATTCGTACCTATTTCCTGTATTCTTACGCATGTTTATACTTATATCTATTATCTTGTAAGCAATTGACAAATCAAATAAATAAAATATTTCCAGGTTGAATTTCTCCTTGTTTAATTTCCATCCATTATTCCTTCTGACTTTCAGGTGCCTTGGAAAGTAGCTTGGAAAGTAGCTTCCTCCTCTCTGTGGCAATCCCTCAAATATTGGAATGCTGCTATCCTGTGTCCCCTGGTCCTTCTCTTCCCTAGACTAGCCATGCCCAGTTCCTGTAACCGTTCATTGTATGTTTTAGCCCCTAGTCCCCTAATCATCCTGATTGCTCTTCTTTGCACTTTTTCTAGAGTCTCAACAACTTTTTTTATAGTGTGGTGATCAAAATTGGATGCAGTACTCTACAGTAGGTGTGGCCTTACTAAGGCTTTATAGTGTGGTAGTAGTACCTCACTTGATCTTGGTTGTATCCCTCTGTTAATGCAGTTTAGGATTGCATTGGCTTTTTCGGCTGCTCCCAAAATAGCTCACTCTTATGCAGTCAAAAATCAAGCCTTCTGTTTATTTATTTTTTAATCTTCTAGTTATAAACCATTGCCAGGTTTCATCTTTATCTACTTTCCCCTATACCATTTGTAAAAATTAACCATATAATGCTTTTCCTTGCCAGCCTTCTGTTCATGCTTTATTACGTTATTTTTATATTCCTTTCTGTTCCCTGTACATTTATTAAGTTCCCATTTGGAGCTTGCATTAATGGCTTTCTTTCTTGGCTTTCTTTTACATAGACAATGCATGTTTTTCTTCCTTGGCAGTTGGAACAATCCTCTGCCTCCATTTCTACAGGAAGGTATAATCTATCAATATTGATGCAATGCATAGTGAATCATCATCAGTTTTCTTGCTTTTCAGTTCAAACTGTCCAGTTCAGTTCATGTCTAGTTAACAAATTTAGCGATATATATTGCATCACAGGTATGGCCCAGGTATTTATCACTTTAATGGTGTTCCCACCATTCAACTTTGTCTTTAGCTAGTTAGTTACTTTCTGTACTGTATGTATTCTTTACTAATCACATTTTTATCTTATCCGTGCTTGGTATTATTCAATTGTAAAATGCCCAGATACCTGTGGTCTCCATCATGATGCTTCGGAAATTTAGCCTTTCAATTCTACTGCTGTTCATTATTTTACCCTGATTTATTGCTATTGTAGCACATTTCTCTAAACTAAATTCTGTTGCTGTATGTTAAAAATTCTGTCAATGTTTGCCAGATTTAAAATTTTATTATTATACAAAAAAGCATCTTTTTCAAGGAAAAGATAATTTTTTAATCTTTACAAAATATCTGTAAAATGTCAACCTTCCTTATCATGGCATAGCTTAAGCTTACTCCATTTAAAGACATGGATGTAACATCTCTTTTCCATGCTTTATGAAGCAGCCTTGAAGAAGAAGAAGAAGAAGAAGAAGAAGAAGAAGAAGAAGAAGAAGA